GCGTGGGTGAACAGTGCAACGCCAATATTGGCGTTGCATTGTTCACCCGCAAGCAAATGGAGGGTTTTTTGGCGTTCGGCTGGAGCGAAGGAATGACGCCAAATACTAGTTTGGCGTTCGGTTGGAGATGCCCTAAGATGGATCAAATTTAATATTTTGCAGTTGAGTTTTTTTCCATCCAAGCATAAAGAATGCAACGCAGCATTAAAAAAATAGTTTAGGGAAAAAATACAAATAGATCAAAAAATAAGGGAAATTGATAGCAACCTAAAATATATTAGCTCCAAATTTATTTGGACTAATCAAAGATGCAAAAGATTAATTGTTTTATGATCCTCGCGTAATGGAAATTAACATGACTAAGCAATAATATTTTACGATCTCAAACACCTTATCACTTCAAGATGCTCGAAGACTTTTTCTTTTTTATCAAATTCGTAAAACCTAGCATTTATCTAAAATAATCAATAAAAATTCGATGGTTCACTTTCTATCATCTGCAACACTAATCTAAAAGCAACATTAAATTTCTATTAATGTTAATCTCAAACTTTGATGCCCCTATTAATCTCAGCACAGATCTTAAAGACGACTCAACCTTGAAATGATCAAGCACGTACGAATCCCAAACGTGAGATAATGCATCCATTCACTATGCCCTTTATCAAAAATTTTAAAATGACCTTCAACCCTAGCAAGTTCCTTTAAAGGATAAAATATATATTTTATGAAATTTATTTTTATTCTCTAAAAACGCTCTATCAAGTTACTTTAAGATATTCCCTAATTATCTTCAAGCTTATTAATATACATAAATAACATGTTCTGTCATTCGATAGCTTTTGTTTTCCTTGTTGTATTGTCTCTTGCTCCTTTTACTTCTCGTCTGGATGTTGGATCTATGGTGGTTCCGGAACATGTTATTACCTCGACCTCTCCGTTGAACTTGTCTAGAGTGGATTTTTCTGTTGAGCCGTTATCTTCCCCTCCCTTAGTTGTTGCTAATGTCACGAGTAGTCCTAATGTTGCTAGGATGGAACTGTCACTTGCTGGTGGTAGCACTGATCCTATCTTAGCTATCGAACATACTTGTTAGGTTGTGGATGACATGGACTTAGGTGCGTGTGATGTTAATAATTGTGGTAATGACCTTTATGTCAGCCATTCTTGTGCGTATTTTGTGGCTAATTCAGGTGATAGATCTATTGCGGTGGGTTCTGCGGATAGTGGCCCCTCTGGTGAGGTTTTGGTTGCTTCTGTTGTGCCAGTCTTTTCTCATATTGTGAATCTTTCTCAGAAAAATGTGGAGTTTGTAGATATTCTTATTTATGTTATATCTAACACATATTTGAAAGCCCGTCTAGCTCGGTCATCGAATAACTCTATTTTGGTTCAAACTGATTGGCTGGATATTGATGAGGACGTCTCCACATCTTGTGAGGCTGAAGGGGATGACTTGGGTGACAATGTAGATGATGAGTTTATTCTCATTGGCAGAGGCAAAAAATGTAAAAGTAAATTTAAGAAGAAATAGCAATTGGGTTGCCCTATCGCTTTTGTTGCTGTGGGTTTTACTGACGCTTTGGACGATGATGAGGCGGCTCCTTGCTTATCACCTTGTTGGCTAGGGCTTGTTGGCAACCTTGGTGGTAAGCCTTCTAGATTGCTTCATGGTTGCCTAGGCTGATGATGTGGTTTATTCTTTGTTTGTCACCAATGGATGGCCCTTGCCTGGTTGCGGAGTCATTGCGGGGGGCTGCAACCTTGAGTCCGCTATTGGATCATTTTCATGCATCCTTGATTGTCTATCTTTTGTTTTTTTGCTTTTTCTTTCATGTACCTTCTCTATTGTATTTTGATTTTCGGATCTTGCTTGTACTGTCTTTTTCATATTTGGAATAAAATTTTATTTGAAAAAAAAGACATAAATGACATTGTAACCCTGCCATTGAGGGATCGGGATTCTCTCGCGGCGACCCAAGTCGTAATTTGCTCACCTTAATGCCAACAATAACATCAAGCCTTCTATCAAACCACTATAGGGAATTGCCAATTTCCACCTTTTTTTTTTTTTTTATTGCCAATTTCCCCCTTTTTTTTTTTTTTTTTTGGCAAGAAATTGGTTGATTTATGACATAAACAGGGATTAATTTCTTGCGAATTTTCGATGGAAAAAATTATGCCAAAATATTATTTGTAGGAAAATATATTCCATCGGGTTTTTAGCCATCTAAAGATTTTCAAATAGATTTCCGATGGACCATGGCCAAAAGATGTTGCCACCAAATACAACGATTTTCTAGTTGAATCACCACCAAAATTTTCCCGTGAGGGAAATTTCCCAATAAATATATAAATTTTCTATACTGAACTATGTGCAATCGGCTACATGAATCTTTTTTATCTATTATGCCATATTAAGAGTGGAATCGCTCGCCTAAAAATAATAATAATAAAAATAATAATAGTAATAATAATAAACTTATTTATTGACTAAAACAATGAAGAAAAACATTCCTTGGACTGATCATTGCGTACTACGTGTGAACAATCTTTAATTTACTACAATATTTATTTGATCAACATAATTCGTAAATCCATCCATTATGACCCCTGCAGTCGATCGTAAGCACCGATATCAGCACTGGTCCCTTCTTCCACTTGACTTCTCAACCAGCCTTTTTAATTTTTATAAAGCTGCGTTGAATGATGACCGTGTTGAACCAATCGCAGACGTTCATTTCCATGGATCATCGATCAAAGCCATAAGAGTGGATCTCAGATCCCACAGGACAAAATCTTCCCAGACGAATTGCCACGGAGTTGCTAACCGAATGGAAAACGAACTCCCACATAACTTTTGACCTGTAGCAGAATCATAATTTTTCTTCACTTTTCTTATTTTGGTATTGGGAATCTGATTTTTGACACAATTAATACGCGTCTATGTAAAGAAAATTAAGTACATAAAACTAACCCAATGATGTTTACATTCTCGTGCGGCGCCTATGATAAAGATGTCCACACGAAAATATTTTTTTTATCCTAAATTAACTTCGAGGAAAAAGAAAAACATTCTGAATTTGCTTTAACATTTTGGAGAGATTATTATGTGAGGTTCGGTCCGTTCTGATGTAAGATGCGTCCGAATTTTATGAGGGTACATAACAATAATATAGTAAATACATAGTGTTTGTAAACACTCTATATATTTTGTTTTGTATTTATTCTGTATCCTCAAAAATTCAAACGGTCTGGACTACGCACGTAATGATTTCTCTACAGTTTGACACGCCTCTTTTCATCACGTACCTTCTTCGCAGTTTCATACGATCTGTGCCAGACTTATGCCGAGACATAAAAATAAAATAAAATATTTTAATCAAATATGATTTTTTAAATAATAAATTTATTTTAAATTTTAATAATATAAACTTTGATTAATTTCATGTAAAATATACTTATTTAACAATTTAAAATCAAATTAATGTCTCAAGTTATTCAATAAAATATTTCATGAGAGTCTCCACTAAAAGAGAATCACTCAAGTTTGAGATTAGGACAATTAATTAGTGAATTTAGATTATAAGGATATTAATAATTCTTATCAAAATCTTGGGTTAAATTTATGCATGAACACTCACTAAGGGTGTAAACAAGCTTAGTTTGTGCATGCAAAAGTATGTGATGTGTGTGAACATCTTTTTAACACCATAAGGCTCACCTTTAAAAGGAAGAACGAGAAAAAAAAAAATTTTGAGGCTACGCATTAAAATTTTTTGAGAAACTATTTCGCTTGAATAGTTACATAATAGTTTCCTAAGATATCGTGTTAAATGTGTTGGATGAATCTTCTTGACCACAACTACAATCAACAAGGTTGCCCCCTCCCCAGTCTGCATCTATTTCCCAAGATTTTGCTGCAACGATAGATTATGTGAAAACATTGACATAAATAACATTTTTAGATTTGAGCAAAAAATACAAATAATCAGGAATCACGTTCCCATGGACGGCGCTAAACTGTTACGGGTTACAATATACGTGGTGATAGAGTAATAACTTTTTGTCTTAGCGTTGTACATATATCCAGTACACAAACTTAACAGAGGAAAAAAGGAACACTAGAACTTTTATTTGGAAAATCTTGAAAAAGGGAAAAACCACGAGGCCAAGCCTGATTGAAATGATTCCGCTAGTGTTTGATTAGATTACAAGTAACTATTTACTCGTACTTGAAATTGAGGACAATCAAATTACAATAATCAACCGTCAAGTTGAAATCTAGTTATGAACGGAGATTGAAAATCAGACGATGTTTGGTGGTTAGGCAAGAATCCGGCTTCATTTGAGGGTTGGGCAAATGTCCTATATCAGTCAGCAGTCGGGCAGAAGTCCAGCATTCAGTCTGTGACCGGACAGAAATCCGACAGTGGTCGAGGAGGAGTCTGGTGGCAAGAGAGTTCTTTTCTTTGTCTTCCTTCTTCCTTGCTTGGGGTCCTCCTCCCATGAGGAAAGAAGGGTCCATTTATAATTTTCTGAGAGTGGCATGACCAATAAAAAGAAGGGAGATCAATGATAGGTTGGGAGTAGTTTGAATGGATGGACGATGTTGGTTATATTAATTTTGAACTATTTATTGGACTTTTGTATACTTTAGTGATGTTAGAATTTTACGATCTTGGACTTGTTGAATTTGACTCATTGAGCCGCTCGATTCAACTATAAGCATGAAATGTTTCAAAACTGTTTGTTAATCTAAATTATGGTTTGAACCTTCCAAATATGCTTTGAGTCTTCGATTTGGACCCATTTGAGCTTGGATTGAGTTGAAATTTTGTGTCGTTGGGTTCGTATTCTCGATACGTTCAATTCAACTATAAGTTCGCTTAAATCAGAGTTCAGATGGTCCCAGATTTAATTTTGAAAGTTTCCAACTTGATTTTGCTTGAAAATTTGTGCCCGATCAAGATAATTTTTGATGATATATCAAAGATATTAGTAATTCTTATCAAAATATTGGATTGAATTTATGCATGAACACTCTCTAAGGGTGTAAACGAGCTTAGTTTGTGAATGGAAAAGTATGTGATGTGTGTAAACATCCTTTTAAACACAACGAGGCTGACCTTTAAAAGGAAAAAAACAAGAAAAGGAGTTTGAGGCTACGCGTTAAACTTTTTTTAGAACATATTGCGCTTGGATAGGTATTCACCGTCACCGGTCATGCAATTTAACAACTACAGAAGTCTAGTGGAATCATTTTCAACTGGGCTAGGCCTCGTGGTTTTTCCCTTTTTAAGGGTTTTCCACGTAAAAAATCTTGTATTCTCTGTGTGTGAGCTAGTTATACGTACAACGTTAAGACGCAGAATTAAATCTCTATCGCCGCGTATTTTCTAGTCCGCAACAATATATAATTTAAATATTAAGAATCAGATTAACTAAACTTATATAAAATAATTAAATATTAAATAATAGCAGACAGCAAAATATTTAGAGTATTTTCTATTTTATTAAAATAAATTTTAACTATGCTATTTTTTAATTAATTAATAATTAAACTCCTTTTACAAAAGTAGCCTTTTGAGAAACTTTAGCGGTTTGATAGGTACTCCACGGTCAATCAATTTGACAAAAGCATGGTCAACTTTTTACGTTCGTGCATCCGCAAGTAAATTTCTTGCAAAATAATAATAATAATAAATTAAGCTTTTATGCTCTATAAATACTCAAAGACATTCTCTGCTCCTCTACTTCACGAATTCCTCACCGGCTCCTACCCTCAAATTCCCTATAGCTCATGCTAAACGCCACCACCTTGCCGGGCAATCCCCGGCTCACCTTCCAGACCACCTCTTGCCGCCAAGACTCTGTCTTCCGACTTCGCCGTCAATCAGTCAACATCAACGCTGCCGCAGGCGTCGCCACCGCCCCTTCCATCGACACCCAAACTCACATCACCAACCTCAACCGCGTGCTCTTAAAAACCTCTCCAACCACTCATTCCCCCTCCCCGTCACTCTTCAACAACCACGAACAAAACAACGCCACACCGGCCACCTCCACCGCCACCAACCGATTTAACGTGCTCAACATATCAAACCTTTTTCCTTCGCTTCGCGTCGAGGATACCATCGATAAATACTCCCCGCGCAGCCTTACCCACCTTCACCGCCTCCTCTCTGACTCTCCACGTTCCTCCCCCAAATCCTCCATCGCTTCTCATTGGCGCCTCCTACACGGCGCACAGAACTGGTCCGGTCTCCTCGACCCCCTCAACGAAAACCTCCGCCGCGAGCTCGTCCGCTACGGCGAACTTATCCAAGCTGCCTATACCGCCTTCTACTCCAACCCTGACTCTCCCCGCCACGTCGTCCTCAACGACCGCAACTACCGCGTCACCCGTAGCCTTTTCGCCACCTCCTCTGTGGATCTCCCGCGTTGGCTAAACGCCGCCGCCGCCGCCGCGTTGCCTTCATGGATGATGAGTTCCACTAGCATGATTGGCTTCGTGGCTGTCTGCGATAACGCCCGAGAGATATCACGAATGGGCCGTCGCGACATCGTTGTTTCACTTCGTGGCACCGCAACGGCCCTTGAGTGGGCCGAGAACTTCCGACCCGCTCTCCAGCCCATTTCAGAATCCGACACCGCCAAGGTCTCTTCCGGATTCTATAGCCTATACAAAACCGGCGGCGCTAAAACCACGAGCCTCTCTTCTACCGTAGTTGAGGAGGTGCAGTAACTTTTTCGTTTGCATATTATTTTTTTAATTAAAGGTTTATTGGATCAACCCATTTGGATACCAACATCATTAATTTCATTAAAAAATTAATATCTTTAAGGTATGTCCGGTTAATAATTATAAGAAACTTTCATAATTTATTTAGGAAGATTTACATACATATCATTTTATATCATGCTATTTATATTTCATGCCTAACGACAGATAACGTTAAAATCAAATATGTCACACATATTTTTCTTTTCTATCGTCCATATCATCCTACAAACTTTAATATTTTATTTCTATCACCCATATTTAATCTATGAGCGTTAGACATGAAATATTAAAATTTTGAGTTTTAGATATATAAATAATATAATATAAACTGATATTTATGTAAAAGTTTTATTTTGTTACCACCGTGCAAGCAAAGCTAGCTTCATTTTTATACATGATTTCTTATTTACATTTTAATAATTAATTGATTTAAAAATAAAAACATAATTAAAAATACTACTAAAACTGCATGAGAATTGTACGAATTTTTTACTTCAAAATTTTGAATACTATACTCAAATCCTCTCTAAACCTTGCAGTTAACAAACCCAAATAATCTAATAAGCTTGATTGATTGAATTTGAAACATTCATATTGCTCATCTTGAATTATTGGTTGAGAGCTTCCATTATCAATCAATAGGTCTTAAGTTCGAGTCTTTTATATATAACGTGTACATAAATTTATCTTAATTGACCTAATTGTCAGCAAAAAAAAAATCCGAATTTTTGTTTCCTAATAATTTATTATATAAATATTTCATTTACAGATCTACTTACTTATCAGAAAACTTTTTTCTGATAAATCTAGCAGGTGCGGCGTCTCGTAGAGAAGTACAAAGGAGAGGAGCTCAGCATTACCATAACCGGGCACAGCCTCGGGGCAGCGCTCGCGCAACTTGTCGCCGACGATCTCGCGACGGAGATCGAGGCCGCGCCGCCGATCGCAGTGGTCTCGTTTGGCGGGCCGCGTGTCGGCAATCGGGCCTTCGCCGAAAGGTTGGAAGGGAAGGGGGTCAAGGTACTGCGGGTAGTGAACGCGCAAGACGTCGTGCCGAGGGTTCCCGGCGTGTTGCCACGTGTGCGGGAGGAAGGATACTCGCACGTTGGAGTTGAGTTGAGGGTAGATAACCGGGTTTCGCCGTATCTTCGGCCCGATGCAGACCCGGCTTGCTGTCACGATTTGGAAGCGTATTTGCATTTGGTGGATGGGTTTATGGGTACGAAGTGTCCTTTTCGGGCCAACGCAAAAAGGAGCCTGGCCCGGCTGCTGAGCCAGCAGCGGCCTAATATGAAGAAGATTTATGTGAGTCGGGCCACGGCGGTCGAGTTGGAAGCAGGTCATACCGGGCGGGTTGGTGGGATCCACCAGGGCTGCCTTGCTAGTCCGTCGGGATGAAACGGTCAAACGGCATTGCGGATGGTCTCTTGATGGTTATTATTATTATTATTTGTAGAGTCAAAATGAACGAAGAATAATTAATTTATTGTTGCATTGATATAAGATAACACTATTATGATTCAATTATTTTTTTTTTAAGTTCGGTGTGCAATTTTCTTAGCATATCGAGATAGCAAAAGTTTTGATTTTCACACAATTCATATTTTGTATTATAAAATGCAGTCCAAATAAAATTTGTGAGTTCAATTATGTTATATTTTAGTAATGCATCTGAATTATGATTTGACAAAAATTTGATGGTAATGTCAAATGTTCTATTATGTTCTGTTATATGGTGTTGAAGCAATATAAATAATTATTTAGTAAATCAATTGCTCACTTTTTATATCTTTTGAAGAAAAAAAGATAAAAAATTTGTTTGACAAGAAATAATTATGAAGTAATAAATTAGTTAATAAAAATAATTTTATTTTAAAGGATGGAAATATACTTTAAATATTTTATTATCAAAGGGGACGATGGCAAATATGGAAGGAGAAGATGTCCTAGGTTGTGAAAACAATCAGAACTTATTCTTTCTTGTGGATGCACGGTCACTTAGTTTAGGGATAATGTTAGAGGGATATGACTGAAACTAAGTATATCAATTGATGCAAAAGTAATTGTAAATACTCAACATCTCCATTGTCATTCAGCAACCAACTCGAAGGTACCAACCTAACACCTGAAAAGAGAGATTGTGCACAAGACTCAATTTAAACATATGGAATAGTAACAATATTGGAAGTCTTGACATTCATGAATAAGATGTCATGATAATGAATAAAATCCTAGCAAATAATAAAAATATGATTATAGTAAGGATAATTGAAATGAAATAAAAGGGTTGCAAGTAATGACCTTTGCGACATAGAGTCGTTAACATCAATATGGTGCTAACATGATCACTTACTTAACCTTTTCTATGCATATCCCTAATGAATTTGTAGGAGGTATCAATATTTGACACGACACGAAAAGTCGACCCGAACCGCCTGATCCAGAAATTATGTGTCCACTCCAGAGTCCGTGCCCGCGTCTACACGTACCCGCGTCCGAGCCCGCGTTCACACTCGCGTCCAAGCCCACCTTCCCATGTCAGGTTGGGTTAACCCGGCAACTCGCCGGGTTGGATCCGGGTTCGGATTTCCAACCCGTTTTTCTACCCAGGTCGGGTTAGGGTCGACCCCGTTTAAACCTGGGTCAATCCAAGTTCGACCCAAACCTGACCTGTGACCCAAAATTGACCCTATGAATTTGTACCTTAGGACCCATTAACCCATTGTGATATTTTCCATCTCATATTATTCAAGCGAGTACCATTTTTCATGTATCACTTATAATCTAATTGGATCATTCTTTTCAAGCAAGCAACAAATAGTGATTGGTGTGATGTTGACATCATAAAGTTTGAAAGCAAACTGTGGGAGATTACATTAAATGAAATTTACGACTAACCCATCGCTGTTTGTTCGGGTGGTGAAAAGATGGCTGGGCAAAACCTAGGTCCCTAGTTCTAATCCCTTGGCAAGCAGTGAAAGCCTTAAGTGTTGGCCTGTGTAAATTGATGTGGGTTGCATGCTAGGTCGACTAGGATTTTCACTGACCTAAAGACAGTGCTTCCTCGTCACAAAAAAAAGAAGAAAATTTACGGATAAAGTTTCATTGTTACCACCTTAGGTGTAGGCACAAATGGCTAGTGTAGGCCACTTCTCTTGAGGCATCAATCTTCATAGTAGTAATTTCTGCCCTCAATGTTATAATAACTATCTTTAGTATATCTCAGATCTCCTTTTTACATATATTGTTTTATATGGAGATAGCCACTAACACGTGCATGCATGTGATTGCTCATAAACGCCCGTCAAGTCTTTAATTATCTATGTAGTATTTTCATGTGTTACTTCCTAACAATTTTTAACACTTACCAGCACTTTCCCCACATTCTCCTCCCACGATGACTCACTCTTCCTATTTCCTATATGAACTTGGACTAACATGTGATTGGTAAAGATGTGCATCACGAAGTAAATCAATGACAAAGCAATTTTCTAATGGGTTGCCATGACAAGTTTTCATTGAGGTAGCTTGACCTACAAGGCAACAAGCAGGTCAATAATCAAGTCTTTGAGCTGATGTGTCATCCATAATTTGACCCGGTGTTATTTAAATTGTTCATGTCGCCAAGACCTGCCAAATCTCATGCTCTCAAGCCGAGAGGTGCAGAGCTATCAATTCAAACAATGAAACATGAAAATAAAAAGTATTAAGTAAAATTGTAAGCTCTTTAATTGTCTTAAACTAATGACCAACAAACAAGTTGAAATGATATTCAACACTTTAAATAAATTCAACTTTTCTATTGGCATCCTTTAATCTTCCTGTAATGCATTAGGATCTAATGGAATGATTAAACATCTAATCCTAAACTTTTTACTCAATCATAACAGAATAAATCAAAGCTGACTATTAAATCCAAAATAATAACAACAATATAAACATTATTTCATTTTCATTTCTCAAAATATCTATATAATAATCTAGTGCATGTCGCATCTAAACATTAGAATAACTCTTATTGAATTACAAAAGAATGTCATAACTATTCACATTTATAGGATTCTGACTCTATCTCCCTCAACTTCGTTGTGCTCTTTCCTTTGCCTTAAATGTCAAAAAGTGACACAGGGTAAGCACAACTTATTTAGTAGACTTCTATTGCTAACACATCATAGATATCAACATCCAATTAAATTACTATTAATAATTTGATTAATTATTCAATAAATCCTTAAAGGTGGCTATGGTTAGGGATTAAGCCAATGGTTTTAAATATTCATTTTAAAAAGATTTCATTTTGGGTCCAACGTTGCAGCATTGCTATGTTCAATAGAATATTTCAGATACATCCAAATTCATCCAATCAGAGAGTTGAGCGCCGCGACATTGCCACACAACACCGCAGTGCACCCCTAAAACTTCTACCCAAACATAAAGCTGAATGCAGCATCACCACCTCTCCCAATGTTGCAGCACTCCTAGACTATCATTATAGGGAAAACACAAATTGCTATCAGAATTTTTGATGGATTTCTAGCAGAAATTTTCCATCAGCATTTTTGGTGGAATTTATGATGGATTTAAGTTAAAAAAAAATTCGTCAAAATTTCCGGCGGCATTTTTTTCCGTTGGAACTTCCCAACGGAATACTGGCAAAAATTTTCCTAACTGACTATTTCCCTGAAATTTTTTAAGGGTTTCTTGTAGAATTTTAAAGTAATAAAATAATATTCTATTTTAATATTTATTAATTTTTAATTTTTATCTAACTAAATATCAAATTTAATATTTTATTTTAAGTAGTTACTTATTTTATATTTATTTTTATATTATTAAATTTAATAGTTTATTTTGATTAATCATTAATTTTAATATTTTTTGTTTAATTATTAATTTTACTATTTGTATATTTCTAGTTTAAATATAAAAGATTAATAGTCAAAACACTTTTTCCTTTGTCGTGGAATAGTTGAGCGTTTCATGACCTTTTCGATGAACAGAATTTGCATCTCGCTGTCATGAAGCGGGCAAACGGTTATTGAAGTGGTTTGAAAACCTCCGGCAAAATCCTCAATTCGCAGCTAGCTATGCAATAATATATTTTCCTCTTAAGATTATTTTTTTCAAGGATATGCGCGTTCTCGTGGCAGAGATGAAACTTTGTTGTAATATAAGGTATAGATCAAAGAACAAAACATTTAATGACTAACAAATTGACCCCACCAAGTCCGGCTCCCTTTTTTGGGAACTATTATTAGGTCCGGACACCAAAAGTCGCTCTACATCCGGAGGCCAATAATATGTCGCCACGTGCTCTTACTTTTTACCGCCAGGCCCAACGACCCGACCCAGATCGGAACCCGGTATTGCTATGTTCAGATTTTGCTAGGTATTGCTCGGTATTGCTAGGTATTGTTAGGTATTGCTTGACAATAAAGAGAAATATCACTCTGTCAAGACCAATACCTAGCAATACAGAGCAATACCGAGCAATACGTAGCAATACCGAGCAATACCTAGCAAAACCAGGGTATTGCTCAGTATTGCTCAGTATTGCTAGGTATTGGTCTTGATATAATGATATTTCTCGTTATTGCCTAGCAATATCGAGCAATACCCCGGTATGCACAAATCAACCAATACATAGCAATTCTGGCCTCCCGGGTCCATTTCGGGTCGGGTCCTCGGACCGCGCAGTAAAGAGTAAGAGCACGTGGCACCATTTTACTGGCGTCCTAACGTAGAGCTACTTCAGGGCTACTTCAGGACACCGAACCTAATAAAAATTCCTTTTTTTGTGGGTTTGAACTATAAAAAATACGGGCGATGAAAGCTTGTCCATGATAATAAATAAAAATTATATTTTAAGAGTTATTTAATGACTAATATTAATGTGTGCTTCCATATAAAATTTTTTCTGGCTCCGCCCATGATTACACTTATGTTGAAATGAAATTAACAATTTTACGAATATTTTACGATAAATATTAAAACTATTTGCATGTTCATAAGCATAAGATCTTTCCAATCAATAAATCAACACCCAAACAATTCAAGAAGTAAATTAAGGTAGATAAGAAATCAAGTAATTGTGATAAAAAAAAACTACTCCAATTCTACCCTATATAAGAAATTAAAAATCTATTATGACCTAATTTTCTCCTATAAATAAATAGTATTGCTCTCTAATGTTGAAGCATAATGTTAAAATTTTTATTTGTGAAGTGGCATCTCTCTAAGGTTTCAGTTGTGAAGGCTTTCTTACTGCTTTTTAAAGTAGATTGTTAGCACAAAAAATTTTTGAACTTCAATAATTTTTTGTACTAAAAATTTATTTTAGAAAGCAATAAGAAAACTATTACAAATAAAACCTAAATTTCCAAAACATGCACAACACT